TGACAAAACCGAAGCTCACTCCTCGACAGGCTCGCTGGTGGCGCGACCTATCCGAGTTTAGTTTCACCACTGAGCACATCAAGGGTGAGACTAATCGGGTCGCAGATGCCTTATCCCAGCGCCCTCACCACGATCAGGAGCAGATCCAACTCTCTTCCATCTCGGTCACCACCGTCCACCACTTGGTGATCGACGAGTTTCGCACTCAGTACCGCCACTGCCTCGACTATCGCGACATCCACGCGACCCTTCGGAGTGGCAAGACCGTCTCGAACTACTCTCTCGGGGACAAGGGTCTCGTGTACTGGCACGGTTCACAGGACACTAGAGAGCCCCGTATTTGCGTTCCCTCCCCTGGACAGGTACGTGTCCGAGCCGTAGCAAAGTTCCATGACCAGGCAGCCGCCGGCCATATGGGCTTCCACAAGACGTTGGCTCGTGTGAGCCGCCTATACGTCTGGCCGAAGCGCAAGGACTTTGTGAAGGACTACGTCGCAGAGTGTCCCACCTGTCAGGAGGTGAACAGTGCGAACCACCTGCCTTATGGTTTGCTCCAGCCTCTTCCTATCCCTGAGGGTCATTGGCTGTCCATCTCGATGGACTTCATCGGTCCTCTTCGACCTCCGACCCCCCGCGGTCATGATGCTATCCTGGTCGTCGTTGACCGCTTCACAAAGCGTGCACGCTTTGTTCCATGTCGCTATGCTATCAGTGCACGTGAGGTCGCCGACATCGTGTTTGACGGAGTCGTGCGTGACCACGGCTTACCTCTCAGCATCATATCTGACCGTGACCCGCGCTTTACCAGCCGATTCTGGCGACGGCTCCACGAGGTATACGACACCCAGCTCCGCTTCTCCTCGTCTTACCATCCTCAGACTGATGGTCAGACCGAGATCACAAATAGGACTCTCGGAGATATTCTCCGAAAGATTGTTCGTGACGACCAGCAATGGGACCTCCATCTTGCCCACGCGGAGATAGCCTACAACCACGCCGTCTCGCCAGCCACGGGGATGTCGCCTTACTATTGCGACCTCGGCTATCACCCTCGTGTTCCTGCGGACTTCCTTTGACCGTCACAAATGCACCCCGACACGAGTTGTCCCGCACTGGATGATTGGGTTGCACACATGACGTCGATCATGAAGACCGCACATGAGCACATAGCCGCTTCCCAGACTCGCATGGCAGCACGTGCGAACCGATCGAGGATGGACCATCCATTCAAAGTCGGTGATGACGTGCTTATCGACGCCTGCCACTTATAGCTCGAAGCGGACACGCTTCGCAAGTTTTGGCGTCGCTTCTTTGGCCCATGCCGCATCCTCCAGACCGTCGGTTCTGATACGGCATCTAGCCCGGTCAGCTTCTGTGTGAAGCTGCCCGACTACCTACGCCAGGCTCGTGTGCACGATGTCTACCACGTCTCGTTACTGCGTCCTTACCGCAGACCGTCTGAGCGTTTCGCTGGACGACCATACGAGCGCCCTCCACCCATCATGGTGGATGCCCACGAGGAGTTCCTCGTTTCAGACATCATTGGTCGCCGAGTCACTGACGACAACCCTCCCCACGTCGAGTATCTCGTACGTTGGAAGGGTTACCCTGATGAGGAGGCTATTTGGGAGCCCCTCGAGCACTTGCAGCACGCTCGCATGTTGGTGCGTGGCTATGACCGTGCTCGTCGTGCTGGGTTCACTGCTCCTCCTCAGCCCACTGACCCTCCTCCTTCTCCCCCGGCTGAGGAGACCGCTGAACTCGAGCCTGCTCCATCTGAGGCAGACCTTCAGCAGCAGCCGGATGCTTCTGAGCGTCCACAGCGCACTCGTCGTCGTCCTGCTCGATACGACGATTGACTCTGACTTACCTTCCCACGTCTTTGACTTCTTAGTACTCCATCCACTCCAGTCTTGCTACTTCAGCTCGTCGACGTTGCGACTCTTCCTCGAAGGCATTCCGGACTTCTCATCGTGGACGTCATCGGCAGCTTCATGGACTTCGTCACGATCAGCTCTGCCTACTTCAGACGTCGCTACTCTCTTACCACTTTACCCTGTATAGTACCCTGCTTGTGTCGCATGATGGTCTCCCTTTAGCCGGGTTCCTCTGAGTTGGGCTCTCCCTTGGTATACGCATAGGCATCGGGACCGTAGCGTTGCCCTGGCTTCCCATCTTACGGATCTAGCTCCGACTTCCCCGCCTTAGGAGTCATCTGCATGATTTCCTTACCCATCACCCCTACCCTCTGCCGGCCCTCACGCCCTAGTTAGGCCGCCCCGCATGCTTCATCTAGGTGCGCCCAGTATACCTGGCTCCCTTGTTCCCTTGCATGGTCGACCCTCCATAGCGGTCACCCCTTAGCCGAGCTTTACCCGCTCTGATGGTCTATCTGTTAGGGTCATTGGTTATGTTCGCTCCCAGTTCCCTACCCTCATTGAGCCTGATGACATGTGTCTCCCTGTTATCTATGTGTGGATGCCCTTAGGAGTTTTCGACCCCTAGGCTGCATTCGCCACCCTCAGAGACCATCCCACCCTTTGGTTGGCGACGCACCCCTCCTGTGACATATGGTTGACTTGTTGTTGCTTGTTGCTCTTAGACTGAGGCTACTGCCTCTGACATTTCTAGGATCTAGTTGTTCTGCTTTTGTTGTTCTTAGGACTTATACACTAGTCAGTTGTTACCAGAGTGAGGCTAGTGCCTCCAACATTCTAGGATCTAGTTGTCACTACTTCCTGCTTTCCTGGGACATGTATGCTAGTTAGTTGCTTTTGCTTTCCTAGGACATGTATGCTAGTTATTTGCTTCTGCTTTTACTTAGACTGTTAGCTGTGACATTGTTGTTTTGTGACATTTTCTAGCCTAGGTCGCATCGCATGGACTCAGCATGGAGCTTGCTCCGCATCCTAGACTACTCAGGTTTTTCTTTTCTTTGGTAGAGTTTCGCTTTTTGGCGGAAGAGTGCTTGTATCTAGGCGATCCATCACAGACCGAGGATCGTGTAGCGGACCTCCGGTGGACCTGTGAGACCAGCCCCTTGGCCTGTTCTCACAGGCCTGTGTTTTATTCGGGGCAGTCCAGTCCAGTCTCGTCAGTCCGCTGGGGTATACCCCAGCCTTTGTCTGTTTTCGAGCTCATTCTTCAGTTGCACATTTCGGAGTACGTGCGTTGGAGTCTGCGTGGGGAGCTGCGCTGTGCACCTTGCTCCCTCCTTTTTCCTCCATCTCCATCTCTGTCACTAGCGGAGCACCACACCTGGTGGGTCCGCTACAGTATCCCCTACCCAGGATTGTTGATTTGTTGAATGTGATTGGATGTGCCAACTATTTTATGAAGTTTGATATTCGCTACGGGTTCCACCATATTGTGGTGAAGGAAGAGGATAGGTCAGAAACGGTGTTCGTTTTGTTTGAAGGAACGAGGCAATGAATCTGTTGCCTTATGGGGATGTGCAACGCCCTGCAACCTTTCAGAGAGCGATGAACTTCACATTCCAGAATTTCATTAAACATGACTGACGCAGGGTATGATAAACTTTTGTGGCATGCAGCCTAATTGCGGAAAACAGGGAAGGTAATGATGAGACCCCTCTTTCCCCTGCTTCTTCTTCTTTCCTCTCTTTGCCCGACAAATTTGCTATTTTTTTGAGTCGTCCCGCGAGTCTATTATGTTCTTATGCATTCACACGGAGAATGGTACATCAATTGGGTAGTTTATGACAGATGTGTCTCGAGGGCTCATGGATCATGTATCGAATATAGAAACCCTCGGAAGTCGTGGCTTTGTCCCTTGTGCCATACCGATAAATTATGACGGAAGCTCGACTCCTCGAAGTCACCTCGGAAGGGTTGGGAAAAACACGAAGGTTTAAGCGTGCGTTAAGTATGGACAAATGTATTTTTGATAGCAACAGTCGTAGGAAACTCTCTCCATGAGTATTTGAAGGAAGATCGTAGACGGGCCAATGAGAGAACATGAGATTATAGATGGAGTGAAGGAAGGCTAGAAAAGCGGAAAACAGATAGGAGCGGTATCTGGATGGTCGTACCACACCCATTCATGCGATATGACTGGGTTAAGGCCGCCCACGAGGAAACGACCATTTGTTTTGCTGTCATAATCACAAAATCGGTTATCGACAAGAATGAATGATACTGGTTAAATATTCAGGACAATATTAAATTCATCGTCAAAAATTGTCTGGTCTGCTCGGCTGACAAAGCGCGGATTCAACAATCGAGATCCATTGTACCGACTGTAGTAGAACGACCGTTTCAAAGAGTTAGCATGAATACGGCGGACATTGTTGTCCCCCTTGGTCCTAATAGCTGCAAATATCCAGTCCTACTCGTATTTGTAGACCATTTCTCTAAATGGATCGAGACTTGCCCATGTAAAACGAGATAAATGGTGAAAATCGTGCGATACATCAACTGCTTCCTCGAAATGCATCGGGATACCGAGGAAATTTTAACGGACAATGACACAGACTTTGGGGGGGGAAGTTATTCGGAGTCTAGTCGTACATGGTGTTTCCATTCGAAACACCGCACCCCATATGTCTCAATCGAACGACCTTGTAGAAAATGTGAACCGGGTAATCAAGACTGTTATGCGGCGAAACATCGTGGGTAGAGACACGAGGCCTTGGCCCGGTATTGTAAATCACATTCTAGTCATCCATCGGGGTACACCCCATGAGTCCACAAGCCTGTCCCCGTTCCAACTACGGACCAATAGTCTGGCCTGCGTCTCTCTATCGAGCCGAAAGGGCAAAACAGCATTGGGGCGACGATCTACGAGGGCGACGACTAGGAAGAAAGCCAAACGACACTTAGAATTGATGGAACGGACCCTCCCTCGGTTAGCCCGGAAAAGACAGCGAATGACCGAATTGACCCAGGGTTGACAAGTCTGAAGCTACAAGGCTAGGGACAAAAACATTGGGCCTCGGCCCCATTATAAATTAGTGGACATCGTGCAGGTGAGTAAATGTGTTCGTCAGGGGAAGTTGGAGCCACAATTCTTTGGCAGGTTTCGGGTTATCGAGTTTGGTCCTAACGGGGTGAACACAGTGCGACTCGCTCCCGAAGTCTCGGCCTGTCAATCAGCACGGCTAATTATCTGCCATGTATCCTATCTTCGATTGTTGCCTGCCTTACCTCCTACCTCACCTCTTGACTCGCCCCTGTCCTCTGAGAGGGATAGTGAGGATTCTCAACCTCTTCTTTATCTCTATAAAAACCTCACTCTCTCCTTCCCTGCCATCGCCATGAGTTCTGTGTCAGAACAAGTAATCAACCGACACATGTTGACTCCACGAGGCTTTATCTCTTCTATTCGGCAAGCGCATCATCCACAATGCAGCTCGGACCTGCTTCGAATCGAGCAGTTCTTCAGTATTGTCGGAGTACATAAGGCAACCGAGTTCCGATTCGCCCATAACGCGAATTGAGGGAGGATATTGGCCGAGGCATCGAGTTTTCTACGGCTTTCTCCTCCGGGAGTCAGCCACATCACGATGATAGTCTCCTTTAGCGGGGATTTTGTTGCGCTCGACCGAGGTATTCATATGAGCGTGTTCCAACAATTGCGGCCTTGGGCAGACGAATTGGCGGGCACGTGGCGGGAGAGGCTCGCACGCCCACGGGATCAGATTGTTCAAACAGACAACATCGACGTGCATCAGATTCGGGTGCTCCGTACCGAACCGGAGATAGTTCTCCCGGAGCTTATCCCCTTTGTGCAACCCTAATGAACCAACACCAATCCTCCACGTTCAGCCTGCCTTCGGACTTCCCTCTCTTCTGGCAGTCTCCTGTCCATTCGCATCTATCCTTCCGGATTGAAGCGATACCAGTACCAATCGTGGAGGATGAAAGGTGGGGGAAGTGGTTGGAGGCATACATGGCGCTCAGTTTCTGTCTAGTGCAAATCATGTTTCGTTGTTCTGGGCAGTCAGAGGAGCTGGACGAGGAGGAGGAGATCCCTAGCGACGAGGCCGAGCTGTTGATTGTTCAGGCTTGAAAGACAGACATGGAATGAAAGTTGTTGGGAAACTTTTTCGGATCGGTAAGGCCCGACAATCTTAGACCAATTACGGGAGAGTTGTTGGTGTTCCTTGCTCAACTCCTCGACGATCTGCCTATGGATATCATCTCCTGCAGTGATGAGAGTCCTTCGCACGCCAATCTTGAATGGATGCTGACGCGTTGCTCAAAATACAACAATCAGAACCGGTATTACCCGTCAACGGACAAGTACCTAGATCCAAAGGAGGTAATTGATCTGTATTTCTGGGAAGTGGTTGGATCATTGGTCGTAGTCACCAGAGAGAGTGAGGCGGAGGAGAGTACCGAACCAGAATCTAGCAATCCCATTATAGCAAGCATTCGGAAGAGGAATCGAAAGAAGAAGCCGAAAAACGAACAAGAGAATGTGCGAAAGGGAAGCGACTTATTGATCAGTCGGCGTGACCATTACAGCCAACGATACTCAATGGCCCCACGAAGGATCTTGAGCCACCCGTAGAAGACGAAGGACGCGATGGCAACACCCGAGGGGCGGAATACAACCGAAGAAGAGCCCAAAGCCCCTCTGTCTCTCCCTCCGCCCGCGCCGCAGTTCGCATACATAGAGATGCTGGCGATTGGGCAACGTCCCTAGTGATTATCTCGCCGTCTCCTTGACTACCTTACCTTCCACCAGGTTGAGGGTCACCCACCATTCCCCCCTACTCGACACCCTTTTCCTCCTTCCTTGTTCCATCAGTTCTACGCTACCGGTCTCATTTGTACCATCTTTCCTCACCTGGCCACCCACTCCCTCGTCTCCTTTTTCCGCCCCCATATCCTCCTTTTCAATAAGGAATGGTGAAACTTCAATAACACCGAAGTCTATTGCATGATTACAGGAACGATCCTCGCATGTGACAAGCATGAACAATTTTGCACTGTCATCCTACGTACCCTCTTCACGCTCCACCCATACTACCTCGCCTCCATCCCCAACCACAATCATCACTTTCCCCACGTCCATCAATTGATGTGCTATATTGACATTCCCCCTGGGGTGAGATCGCTAGCACGATTCCTCCCTTCGCTCCCCCAATCTCATCCTCCCCCCCCACCCTCCGTCCTCAGAGTGTCGTATCCGTTGAGGCAGGAGTAACAACAATAATAATCACAACAAGGTGGAGTCGGAGAGGGACGTGGATCGGGCAACGATGAAAGCGCGAGACCATGATAGTGTCACCTGGAAGACAACGACACCTTCACACTTGGGTCGTGACATCATGGTCTCCTTCTTCTTCTTCTTCTTCTTCCCACAACCACAAGCATGATGCATGCAAGCAGGAGCTTGCATAAGATTGGAACCCTCTGGGTGTCCCATATGTGACGATCTATCTTCTGATAAGCGCAACTTTCTGCGCGACTGAACCTTGGGGTGGTCAAATGGGCCTAAGGGTCAATTGCATGAATGCCCCCATTCCTTTTTTTTTCTCTCTGTTTTGCGAGAGCTTGGTCCCACGGTTGTTGATGGTTAGGACGCGCCTTAGCGAGCGCAGGGATAACGGCTAAGTTAAACGCAACTTTTACCTCCTTTTTGGGAAATTTGGGCAGGGAGCTTTGACACGATCGCCGCGCGGGGGAATCGTTTTGAATTTTTGAACTCTTTCGAAAGAATGGGGGAGACCACACGGACACTCGAGATTAGGACTCTAATTAGACTAGGATTTGGGGGACATCGTACCTTTTTTTTTAATTGCACGATGCTCCTTACTTGCACACGCTTTGTTGCACTCGGTCTTGCATTCTATTCCTGTCGGGCCTTAATTCTAATCTCAACTGTAATTTCCTCTTGTTCCTTTCTTGGCGAGTGCGGGTGTGCCTGTAATCTTATCCTTCTTGGCTTTTCTTCACGTCGAAACATGCGGCCTCTTCCCCATCGTCTCATTGGCCAGAGCGGTGCATGACAGGATTAATGCGTGGAGAGTGGCTTCGTCCCCTATGCTGCGTGTGTGTGTGTGTGTGTGTCGTAGAGCAATAATTTTTTTAAGTTGTGGGGCATCCCCCTGCCCCCCATAGTTCGGACTTGGATCCATATCATGCGTCACCACACATGAATCCTGCACCCCCTAAGAGGTGCTCATAATTTTTTTTTCCCCCTAATAAATAGTTAAACCACGACTGGCCCTGCCTTTCGAAATTCGGGGGGACTGGTAGCACATGTTCATGAGGGCTACCGGTAGCACAGCCTGAGTGGGGAGAGCTGCCAAGCGGCAAAAAATTACATGCATCGAATTGCCACCGTGATTTTTTTTTCAGTTGAAATGAAATTTTCTAATTTTTTAAATATTTTTCCTGGAAAGATCACTACAAAATCTATATACCCTCCCATTTTCAGATTTCTTGACGTTTTTCTTTCAACGCGAAACATCGCTGAAGTTGGAGTAGTTTTCCTGTTGGCCTGCATGGTAAAGTGGCAAAATTGGAAATGAGACGATTTGGTGCGACACTTATTTCAAGATCTAGTATATATATATATATATATATATCGATATATATATATATATATATATATATATATATATCGTCACAGCCCCTCGTTTGTTGTCCTCTTCTCTCTCTCTACCTACGGTTTACCGGGCAGTTCTGTTTGTGACGATATATATATTTTATATATTTTTCATGGAAAGATCACGACCAAATCTATAGGCCCTTCCATTCGCAGAGTTGTGGAATCATGTTTCCGACCGCAAAAATCCGTGGAAGTTAGGGTATTTTCCCGATGGCCAACACGTACCAGAATGGCAAAAATGAAAACTGCAACAAAACGGCGTGACATTTATTTTATGATTTTTTTTTTTTTCATTTTTTTGCTATTTTTCCTGGAAAGATCACAACCTAATCTACACGATCTCAATTTTTCATATTTTTTCTTCAATTCTTCCGAGCGCAAAAAAACGCCAAAGTTGACACTTGAAAACTGCAGGACTGGACCCGCCTGCCACACTGTGCAATGTCAGGGTTTGGACACATAGACACATCCTGACCTGCAAGGTGCCTCACGTCGGATACACTCATAAAAAAGCAGTCCCCAAAACCACACAGGGACCCAACTCACCTGAGTGGTATCAGAGCAGGCAGTTGCGTATCTCAAATATGTGCGTGGGTTGAAACCTCAACGACAAACATTAGCAGCAAGCTTCATATAATATAATATTGATAATAATATTTGTGTGTGTATCTTGTGTGTGTGTGTGTGTGTGTGTGTGGGTAGGCGGGGGGGCGGGTGGGTGGGTGGCAGGCAGGTGTGTGTGTGTGTGTGGGCGGACGGGCAGGCAGGTGTGCGTGTGTGGGTGGGTGACCAGGTCGGTGGTTGGGTGGCACGCGGGCAAGTGCGTGCACCCGCCCCCATGCCTTTTGCCGAAAGTGACGAAACTGAGAGGAAGGGGAACGGTGAACGCTTGGTTTCCAACAAAAAAAAAAAAAAACCGCGACGGAAACAAAAGGAAAAAGAACCGCGAAAGCGGGAAATGACGAAAACAAAAGAAAAAAAGAAGGTCGCGACAGCGGGAAACGATGAAAACAAAAGGAAAAAAAAGGCCACGGCAGCATGAAACGACAAAATTGCAAAGGGGAACGAAAAAAAACAAAACAAAAAAAAAAAAACTAAAAAAAAAAAAGCAGAAAATGACGACTGAAAAAGAGAAAGAAAAAAAAATCCGCCTCGGCCGCTTATCGACGGCGGGCGCGTCGAGATATTCATCTGCATCGGTGCTCGCCGTCTACCCAGCCCGTGTGGGCCCGTGGGCACGCTCTCTCGTTTAGTGACGTGCTGTGAACAATTCGGTATGCGCGCCACTCTGCACCCCCACCCCCACCCGCCCTCGCCAGCCCGCACCGAAACTTTGACCCGATTCCAGTAGGATTGTTTGCTTTCGCGAAAAAGAAAAAAAAGAAAAAAGAAAAAAGGAGGTCAATAGAAATGTGCGGCCACTAGAAATGAGTCTCTGTTTCTTTTTTCCACCTCCCATTCTTCACACACAAAAAAAAAGAACAAAAACAAAATAAAAACACAACTTCGAAATATAAATCCATCGTGGTTTTGCTGCCATCCGATTTTCATGCAACAACCGTCGGGCGATTTCCGCAGTTGTCTCACAGGTGTTTTGTGCGGACATTTTACACTACTGGTGTGCTAGTGGAACCGTGCCCGAGGACGATGGCGGGGACGATAACCCTCTCGCCGGAGTCTTTTCTTCCCGGGGCTAGGTCGCACTTGCACGAATTAAGAGATACTGACCGTAGATAGAAAGGATCAACGGCCGAAATCTCGTAATTTGTGCACCTGGGACCTTGCCCCGGTTTCGTGCCGCGAGTGCGGCCTCGCGCGGGCGGCACTTCGCCGCACCGGCTGAAGAACGTTACGTGTTTGAGGTCGTGCGCTGCCGCACGGGGACTGCGCGGCACCGACCGACGCCTGTAAATACTGAAAAACTGCGGCCATTAGATTCGTGACATCGACGGCGATTGGGCTACCGGTAGCAGCGCCGCGTGCTCCCGGTAAGTGCTGTGAACTGGTCTGGAAGAAGACATCGATGATCAGTTTTGCGCTCTCGTATTCGCAGCCATCGCCCATAGCTAACGACTGCTCCATCGGTCAGTCATTACTGTTCTTGGCACCCAGCTGACGTTCCTGAGACCCACTACGGCTCAACTCGGGGCTGGACTTCGTCCTTATCTGCTTGTCGTTCGATTTGATCAGAAGGGACAAAAACAATTGACGTGATCCTGGCGTAATCCGACGGCGCGGCAGCGATTGGTGATGTGGTGCTGGTGAGGGTGAGTTGAAATGGGTCAGCAAACGAAGTGGACAAGCCCATCATTCCACTGTACGCTGGTTACTACTCCTACCGGTAGTAAGGGTAAATCCTGATAGAAAAAAAGAAGAAGAAAAAAAAAAAAGAAATAGGCCATCACTGATTCGACATTCTGTACGCTGTTACGTGTCATCGGCGTGTTTCATCGCCGAGATCTTCTCAACATTGTAGCGATGGCGAGTGGAAGCGAAGTTGTTGTGACGTCAACGTGAAATTTATGCCTTCTGTGCAGGTTCCTCCCTGGGAACCAGCACGCGTTTCTTCTTCTTCTTCTTCTTCAACGGTTTTCTTCAAGTAGTTTGACGATTACTCTACGTGCCTCCAGTGTGTGGGGGAGCTTTTAAGAGGGAGTTTGTGTGTGTGCGTGTGTGTGTGTGTGTGTGTGTGTGTGTGTGTGTGTGTGTGTGTGTGTGTGTGTGTGTGTGTGTGTGTTTGTGTGTGAGGAGGTGGGGGAGGATGCCTCGTGAGGCAATCATGCGTGTGATTAACCAGACTATGGTTTCTTTCGCGATGGCGAGCAGACCATCCAGGCAGGTGATGGATATGGCTGCCAGGTCATCCCGTAGCGTTTCTTCGTTGTACAGGGTAATGCCGATGAGTTGGGACCTCCGCCTTCCTCTCTCCACGGGAAGGCTGGTTCATCATCATGCCGCCATCGCCAGCAGCAGCAGTAGCAGGAAGGGCAGCAGAACCTGCGCCGGTAGTCCGGCGTGGCACAGGGAATTGGGGTCGCGACAAGCGCGGTACGTCAGTACGGCGACCGGATCTCAGCCGGGGGCAAGTGGCAGGGTGCGAGCAGGCTTTTCGAAATGCCAATCCTCGTCGTCATCGGATCCACAAAGCCATTCAAGATGCGACACGTGGAACGCGGCCGATCCGATGGCGCGATTCCGGGGGCGGCTGCTGACGTGGCGAAGCATAGGAGGTGGAGAGAAAAACGCGCGCGCACGCAACGAGTGGAGAGGGCGGGGGAATTGGAGGGAGCCGCGATGTGAAGTAGGGGGGGGAGGAGGAGGAGCAAGGAGATGGGGGGGGCGGGGGGGCGGGGGAGAGGACGTGACGCCCCGACGCGCCGATGCACTGGAACAGGGGACATTCGCAGGGAAGCCGTTGGAGATGGCAATTGTCGACGGGACACGAGGCACGACCAGGAATGATCGGGAGACTGACCGGAGGAATGTTCGGTGGAATGTTCGGGGGAGTAATCGGGGCTCTCTTCCTTCTCGTATTGTGCGTGCTCAAGGAATTTGTGACTTTGGCGATGACTCGCCGATGTACAGTGTACCGAAAGCAGGGCTGATGCCCTGGAATGCATGCAAATGTCGTGGATTCGCTTCAAGTCATGACAATCTGTGTACAGCTGGCGGCCACGTACGTGATGAAGATGAGAGAGAGGATGGGCAAGTTAGGCCGGGACGGGAGTGTTGGGGCCCGATGGAGGCGCCAGAGCTGAATGTCCTGCTGGCAGGATGCGTGGAGAGGGCACCCGCGATCCCGATCAACGGGTCGGATGTCACCATTTTGTCGGAGCCAGGAGAATTTTTCGAGGCTTTGAAGGAAGGAGTGAAGAGAGCGAAGAGAAGAATCTTGATTGCCTCGCTGTATATCGGGACTGGAGATCTAGAGAAAGAACTGGTAAGTGACACGTGGCCTCCCTCACTCGTTCCTTCTCTCGTTTCCTCCCTCTCTGTCTCTCTCTTTGTGTCTCTGTGTCTCTGTGTCTCTGTCTGTCTCTCTTATTCTATTTCTGTGTCAGCGTTTCTCCCATCTTCGGTTGTCTGTTCCCTCCGATCTTAAGGCCAGGCCCCACTGGCGATATGGTCGTGCTGGGAATGCATGAACTTGGTCGTTAGTACGTCCTTATTCGTGATTTCCGGGCATGAGCATAGCACCAGTGGGCCGGCACTAATGGAAGTAACCGTTCTCCTTTAAAGGGTAAAAAAAAATTAAAAAAATGATCATTACTTGAGTATAGGATGCCATCGGTATATGGGTCTAGCGCACTCACTTCCTCAGATGTCCATCTCGGTTTGATGGGTTTTTTTTTTGTTTTTTTGTTTTTTTGTAAGGTGAGAGTGTACAAAGAGTGGAGAAGGATCAAGATTGACATCGTCCATCTCGGTTTGATGGTTGTTGTTGTTGTTGTTTTTTATTTATTATTATTATTTTTTTTAATTTTTAAGGTGACAGTGTACAAACGTTGACATCGTCCATCTCGGTTTGATGTTTTTTTTTTTTTTTTTTTTTTTTTAATTWTTTTTAGGTGAGAGTGTACAAAGAGTGGAGAAAGATCAACTTTGACATCCCTGCTAACACAAAAGCAATTATCCGTTGGTCGGCCATTGCTTCTTTTGGGACTTCGCGTCAAACTAAAAAGCGATTGGCTTTTATTTTGGCCCATCGTTGGGCCATTGTTTCTTGATTTTGGGCCATTGCTTCTTTTCGAGTACGGATTGTGTCTATTTCCCTCCCCCCCCCCCCCCCCCCCAAAAAAAAAAAAAAAAAAAAAAAAACCATCATGCTAGAGGATCAGATCCTGGAGGTGATATGAGCATCATCCCCCAGATCGGATTTCAGCTTATTAGGCTCGTTGGCACTCAGTCGTGACTGCGCCGCCCCCCTCCCCTTTTTCCTACCTCCAGTCCCAAAGCAGCGTATTTGCTGGGAAGTCTTGAAGGGGGCTGCTGCTCTTTTGTGGGTTCTGTTTGGTGTGCGCGTAATGAATGAGGTGGTAGAGAGGAGGTGTACGATGTTACTATATCAGGGAGGAGGTGTACGGATTCAGCAGCAGGTATTTTAGATCAGGTACATGTAGGGAGGAGATGTACGGATGTTAGTCGGGAGGATTCAGCAGCAGGCAAAGGCCAGAGATGTCAAAACAATTGTGGATGCCTTTCTCGGCCTTTAGGCGGAGTAAGACCAAGTGTAGTATTTGTTCTGGTCAGTTTAATAGCTGATCCGTGCCTATCGGGCCATGAAAAAACGAGAAGAAAACATAAGAATCATTATGGGACGAAGAAGGGTAGTGATTTTTTTAAAGAACAGTGCGTTGGCTCGTTGTGAAGTCTAAAAGCCTGTAAGGATAGGATTCGCCAGGACGACTGCGGGGGCCGGGCCGGGCCGGGCCGGGCCGGGCCGGGCCGGGCCCGGGCGGGGGGGGGCTCGTGTTTGGGGTTGCGTCGTCGGAACCCTGCGTGCTTCTGATATATCTATCACAGCCCCTCAATTGTTATCCTCTTCTCTCTCTTTGCTGACGGTTCACCGTAGGCAGTTCTGTTTGACGATACATATATACATACGGGTTCAGCCTCTTGATGAGTAGGTAGGTGAAACTCCGGCGAAACAGTTTGTCACAGACCCTCGTTTGTTGTCCTCTTCTCCCTCTCTGCCTACGGTTTACCGGGCAGCTCTGTTTGACGATATATATGCATATACTTCTTTTCCTTTCCTTGTTTTGCTTTTTTTCGCCTTCGTGCTCTGATTCACAGTGTGACAATATATATATATATATATATATATTTCATTGTACAGCGTACTTGCCTGCGGCGCTACGAAACAACGGCGATGTCTAAGTCGAACACGGGAAGGAGCCTATCTCTGTGTGTGTGTGTGTGTGTGTGTGTGTGTGTGTGTGTGTGTGTGTGTGTGTGTGTGAGAGAGAGAGAGAGAGAGAGAGAGAGAGAGAGAGA